AGCATGTGTAGACTATCATGGAATACTGACTGGTGAAATATCATTCAGCGAGGGAGATCAGCTGGCGATATATAAGAAGGAGAGTAGGTTTTGGTGGAGAGGAAGATCCTTGGTGTCTGGTGATGAGGGATACATTCCTAGTAGTTGTGTTTACTCAATGTTGGAGTCACTTCAATTGTTAGAGTTTATACTGTCAGAGGAAAAAGTGTCCCTTCCTATTCTACAGAATATAAGGAATGATTTATTTAGTAATGATGAGAAAGCTTTTCTTTTCTGGGAGACTATTAATGATGATCCTATTATGATACCTGCACTAAGACAAGACAAGGAACTATATAGAGGTAATATTGGTGATTATTGAGACAATCAGTTTAATTATGCATTATGTGTGGTGTATTAATTTACTGAATTTATTGCATGGTATGATAATGGTTGGTGGTACATTATCCTTTGGTTTATATTAGGAGTCACTGGGAGTGTGGACTGGTACAGTGACAGTGTCCACCTTTCCTCTCCACCTCTAGATCGGTGCAATGAAGCAGTTAATAATATTAACAATAATCATGAAGGGATTAGACTCAAATTCTCATCTACTAATAGTACAAAGACTCTACTATCATCAACTAAACTGCATACACTAAACCTGAGGAGACTTGAGATATGGTACACTCCATTACCTAATGATTGTATCCAGTATTTGTGTGTACTACTAACTAATAATAAAATACAAGAACTAGAGATCAAGTCCCACTCCATTAGTGATAGAGGAATTACTAATATCTGTCAAGCACTTGAACACAACTCTACTCTTACCTCATTAAATCTTTATCGTAATCCTCTCATCACTTCTACTAGTGGACAGGCTTTTTCTCACCTTCTCCTCAATAACTCATCACTTGTTGAACTGGATCTAATGCATACTTCATTGTCTACTGAGTCAATACTACTCATCCTCCATTCATTATCTAATAATAATAATATAAGGGACCTCAGGCTAGACTATCGACACAAAGAGACTTGTATTAATACTTATACTAACTATCACCTCATACAAGACATAGTAGCCTGGTGGTAACTAATCACTAGTGTCGTTTTAGTATGGCACAATAATTTTGTTTTAGTTTCCTATTTCTTTATTTTTAAGTTTTAGTTTTAGTTATGCAATGGTAATAAT